CTGTATAACATGAAGTCTTTGGGTGGTGGTCACTACACCTGTATAACATGAAGTCTTTGGGTGGTGGTCACTACACCTGAATAACATGGAGTCTTTGGGTGGTGGTCACTACACCTGTATAACATGGAGTCTTTGGGTAGTGGGCACTACACCTGTATAACATGAAGTCTTTAAGTGGTGGTCACTACACCTGTATAACATGAAGTCTTTAAGTGGTGGGCACTACACCTGTATAACATGAAGTCTTTGGGTGGTGGTCACTACACCTGTATAACATGAAGTCTTTGGGTGGTGGTCACTACACCTGTATAACATGAAGTCTTTGGGTGGTGGTCACTACACCTGAATAACATGGAGTCTTTGGGTGGTGGTCACTACACCTGAATAACATGGAGTCTTTGGGTGGTGGTCACTACACCTGTATAACATGAAGTCTTTGGGTGGTGGTCACTACACCTGAATAACATGGAGTCTTTGGGTGGTGGTCACTACACCTGAATAACATGGAGTCTTTGGGTGGTGGTCACTACACCTGAATAACATGGAGTCTTTGGGTGGTGGGCACTACACCTGAATAACATGGAGTCTTTGGGTGGTGGTCACTACACCTGTATAACATGAAGTCTTTGGGTGGTGGTCACTACACCTGTATAACATGAAGTCTTTGGGTGGTGGTCACTACACCTGTATAACATGAAGTCTTTGGGTGGTGGTCACTACAACTGTATAACATGAAGTCTTTGGGTGGTGGTCACAACACCTGTATAACATCAAGTCTTTGGGTTGTGGTCACTACACCTGTATAACATGAAGTCTTTGGGTGGTGGGCACTACACCTGTATAACATGAAGTCTTTGGGTGGTGGTCACTACACCTGTATAACATTAAGTCTTTGGGTGGTGGTCACTACACCTGTATAACATTAAGTCTTTGGGTGGTGGTCACTACACCTGTATAACATGAAGTCTTTGGGTGGTGGTCACTACACCTGTATAACATTAAGTCTTTGGGTGGTGGTCACTACACCTGTATAACATGAAGTCTTTGGGTGGTGGGCACTACACCTGTATAACATGGAAGTCTTTGGGTGTTGGTCACTACGTCGTATAACATGGAAGTCTTTGGGTGGTGGTCACTACACCTGTATAACATGAAGTCTTTTAAGCTGGCAGCAGCAGCTGAGGGCAGATGCCCCTGTTTGTTCTACTTGTGCTTTTGGAGGGACACCGATGAGGCTGGAACTCTGGAGCTCACACACCTCGCATGACTCCCAGTGGCAGGTCTGTTTCATCTGAGAAAACTACACAATCATTTATGTGTGCATAACTACTGGACATTGAACATCTGAAATATCCAGTATGTAAAACAGTACTTGAAACATCCAGTATGTAAAACAGTACTTGAAACATCCAGTATGTAAAACAGTACTTGAAACATCCAGTATGTAAAACAGTACTTGAAACATCCAGTATGTAAAACAGTACTTGAAACATCCAGTATGTAAAACAGTACTTGAAACATCCAGTATGTAAAACAGTACTTGAAACATCCAGTATATAACAAAAATATTTGAAACGGTGTGTCACAAGAATATGTAAAACATCCAGTAAAGAAAACTATGTAACAAGCATAACATATCAATATTGTTAGCTTACCAATATATGTTAAAATATATTTGTATAAAAATGTCCAGACCTTAACACATTTAGATAATAAAACAGTACCAAATCAACAACATGTGTTGCTGCATGTTGGTGTAAATGTGCACAGAGACAATACAAAGCCATTACTGTCCTGATACAACTGCCTCCATTGATACTCTACATCATGATCTATGAAGCCATTACTGTCCTGATACAACTGCCTCCATTGATACTCTACATCATGATCTATGAAGCCATTACTGTCCTGATACAACTGCCTCCATTGATACTCTACATCATGATCTATGAAGCCATTACTGTCCTGATACAACCGCCTCCATTGATACTCTACATAATGATCTATGAAGCCATTACTGTCCTGATACAACTGCCTCCATTGATACTCTACATCATGATCTATGAAGCCATTACTGTCCTGATACAACTGCCTCCATTGATACTCTACATCATGATCTATGAAGCCATTACTGTCCTGATACAACTGCCTCCATTGATACTCTACATCATGATCTATGAAGCCATTACTGTCCTGATACAACTGCCTCCATTGATACTCTACATCATGATCTATGAAGCCATTACTGTCCTGATACAACTGCCTCCATTGATACTCTACATCATGATCTATGAAGCCATTACTGTCCTGATACAACTGCCTCCATTGATACTCTACATCATGATCTATGAAGTCATCACTGTCCTGATCCAACTGCCTCCATTGATACTCTACATCATGATCTATGACTGTCCATGGAAACTGACATCCATCTGGGCTGTCAGAAACCTCTACATGATTCTCTTCCCTGCTTGTTGTTGACATAACATGAGAGATCTGGGCACAGACACTCACTGGTCACTTAGCTCGATCAGGTGCCATCTCCGCCATAAAGGATTCCCAGCATTCTCTCTGCAACTCTGGTACTGGATGTCCATCTCTCTCCGACTGCTGTGTATCCATCTCTTGATGTTATCCTCACCCCTGTAATTTTGCTGGCCTGTCTCCCATTTACCCCTGGCTGAAATAATTTCTGTCCTCTGTGTATTTCAGTCAACATTTCTCTTATCTGTCCCAGTCTCTCCAGAACCTTCTGTAGGCACTCACCCCCCCCCGCCCCCCCCCCCCCCCCCCCATTATCAGCACTCTGTCCACAGTGCTGTGATGACAATCTTCACTAATCACTAAGAGCACTCTGTACACAGTGCTGTGATGACAATCTTCACTAATCACTATGAGCACTCTGTACACAGTGTTGTGATGACAATCTTCACTAATCACTATGAGCACTCTGTACACAGTGCTGTGATGGCAATCTTCACTAATCGCTATGAGCACATTCAATTTATCTTTCATGTTATTTTCTCAAAAGCACTAACTGCATGTCTGTAACACATGTTTGACTGTAACACACACTTGACTGTAACACACACTTGACTGTAACACACACTTGTCTGTAACACACTTGACTGTAACACCCACTTGTCTGTAACACACTTGTCTGTAACACACTTGTCTGTAACACACACTTGTCTGTAACACCCACTTGTCTGTAACACCCACTTGTCTGTAACACCCACTTGTCTGTAACACCCACTTGTCTGTAACACCCACTTGTCTGTAACACCCACTTGTCTGTAACACACACTTGTCTGTAACACACACTTGTCTGTAACACACACTTTTCTGTAACACACTTGACTGTAACACACACTTGTCTGTAAAACACACTTTGTAACATACACTTGACTGTAAAATATATGAGACTGTAATACACATCTGACTGTAACAATAAAAAAAGATATGTATAATTTCTTCAAAAACTGAATAATAAAGAGAACAGTCACGCCTAACTGAATATCATATACAGCAAATGACCAGACAGTTCATTCAAGGGCATGTATGACACATAAGGCACAGACATAACAGGTTAAACTGTAGAGAAACAAGCAGCATAACTGAGAGTGTGAAGAGAATTCTACACATGTGCATAATGCATGTATGTGTATAACAGATAAACTCTTTAGCCTAATGTCTGTCTGTAGTTACCATATCCTACTGCACTCCAGACAAACCAACTAGTGATCAGTCATGTACTACATGTCTATGTATTATGTGTGCATGAGTGTTATGGATACTCATCTATGTATACTGTTATTTGAACATGACAGGCTTTTGTGTATGTGATTTGATACTCATATGTGTATATTGTTACATGAACATGACAGTCTTCTGTGTATGTGATTTGATACTCATCTATGTATACTGTTACATGAACATGACAGTCTTCTGTGTATGTGATTTGATACTCATCTATGTATACTGTTACATGAACATGACAGTCTTCTGTGTATGTGATTTGATACTCACATATGTATACTGTTACATGAACATGACAGTCTTCTGTGTATGTGATTTGATACTCACATATGTATACTGTTACATGAACATGACAGTCTTCTGTGTATGCGATTTCTTCTTCTTCTTCGCGTTCACCAGCTGTAAACTCTGGCGGCAGGTTCTGGTTGCTCGTCCACTACTGAACTGCAGTCCTGCTAGAGAACCTAAGTGTTGCGTGTGCATCAGTTTTACAGATCTCATTCTCTTGAATGCAGACTGTTGGTTCCTTGCCTCTCCGGCAGATGCACTCCGACTTCAAAGGAAGCTCCCCAATTAGTTGACTCTTACGACATGCTTTTGGGGAGGCAGTGGGTCTATTCTTGTTTTCCTTACAATGGGGCCCCGGAAGCCACACGGGGGTGTATGCGATTTGATACTCATCTTTGTATACTGTTACATGAACATTACAGTCTTCTGTCTATGTGATTTGATACTTATATACGTATACTGTTACATGAACATGACACACTTCACAGATAAAACAATAATCTTGTGAGAGTTGACAATGGAGACTAGGCTGCCTATCTCCAACACAGAGAGTGAAATTTGAGTAGCTATGAATGAGTCATCAGGCCCTAGTAGCTGAGACGGGAAGAATGGCTGGACCCAGCAACTCATACATTAGATATCACTGTGCCCCTTTTCATTAGATATCACTGTGCCCCTTTCATTAGATATCACTGTGCCCCTTTCTCTATTTCTCATTAAGTCAAACAATTTTGCCACAGTAACAACTTAATTCAAGACGGCAATGAAACACTTCTACAAGAGAATACACGAATACTGGTAACAAATGAAACACCTTCCATAACAACATGTTGGAAATATTTAAATGTTGAACCACTAGTGTAAAAATAGCTGTTGTCCTGAACACAGAAATAGCCAAATCAAAGCCAAAACAAAATGTCCAAGGAATGATATGTCAGTTGGCATGTTGCATGTTATACTTTCTTGAACAAGTCGGAGAAATCTGGCACAGTAGAAGTTTGACCACACGGGTACAAGAGTTTCTCCTGTCCTGAGATCGTGACTGGGTTGTCCTGTAAAACAGATTCAAAGGTCAGGTTTTTATTGTATGTCCATACTTTATTACTTTAGTGTACCGTACAAAACACATTAAATAAAAAAATTACAAGGGGCTGGACGCTTTATCAGGGATAAACACAACTGGATAAAGTTGTAGGACTGACTTGCTTAGTCGCTCCTCTTCTACCTTGGGGTGTAGAGGTTTACCAGAGAGATCACAGACTTCTCTATTAGCAGATTTCTTTTTGGTTTGTTCCATTCCAGTCGTTTGTCAGTCAGGGACTGTCAGATGTTGTCTTTTAAGGTTGTGACATATTGTCTGATTGCGAACTTTGCCCTTCTTTCAACCTCCTTTCTCAGATATCTAATTTCTGAGGCCTGTAGCTGGCTTCTGTAAGTTGTCACTGCCCATGACTCACACCGGTATGTAAGAACTGGCTTATAGGTAGTGCGGTAAACAGTCATTTTTGTACCCTTGCTAATTTCTCTTTGGCTGAGAGACCCCCAGTTTATGGCCTGGAAAAGTCTTCCAGCAGCTGCTTTTCAAGCAGCCAAATCTGATCTGATGCCTGCATTTCAGTCTATTACAATTCCAAGGTTTTTGAACTGGTTGATCTGCTTTAATCCATACTGTCCCATCATAATCTGATGTTTCTTCTCTGTTGAGATCACCATGGTTTTAGTTTTGGAGATACTGATGGTCATCCCTTTCTTCTCAAGTTCTTTTTTCCAGACATGTTCGTTGGATTGAAGATGTGCGTCTGACTTGCTATGAGGCCGCATCATCTGCAAATGCCAGCTCTGATATACAGATTGGTCTCATCTTCCAGTACCCTACAGAGTATTTACTTCTTTGTCTTCTCCTTACAGGTCTTGATGACCTCATCTTTCAGAAGAATGAAGAGGTCAGGTGAGAGAATATCTCCCTGTCTAACACTACTAGTGTCTTAAATTCTTCTGACTTTTGGTTCTCAAATAATTTCTGCAGTTTTTGTAGAAACTATTGACTGATCAGGCTGCTGAAATGTTCTTACCTGCCAAGCAGTCCCAAACCTTATCAAATGCCTTTTCTAGATCCACAAAACAAAATTGCATTTCACTCTTATATTCAAGAACTTTTTCACACATCTGTCCAAGGGTGAAGATAAGGTCTTGAGTACTTCAGTTTGCTCTGAAACCGCACTGGGCCTGATCCAGCTGTGGTTCCTCCAGACATGTGAGTCTCTGCTCGAGAACTCTAGAGTAACTCTTTCCAGGTTGCTCCAGACATGCGAGTCTCTGCTCGAGAACTCTAGAGTAACTCTTTCCAGGTTGCTCCAGACATGCGAGTCTCTGCTCGAGAACTCTAGAGTAACTCTTTCCAGGTTGCTCCAGACATGCGAGTCTCTGCTCGAGAACTCTAGAGTAACTCTTTCCATGTTGCTCCAGACATGCGAGTCTCTGCTCGAGAACTCTAGAGTAACTCTTTCCAGGTTGCTCCAGACATGCGAGTCTCTGCTCGAGAACTCTAGAGTAACTCTTTCCAGGTTGCTCCAGACATGCGAGTCTCTGCTCGAGAACTCTAGAGTAACTCTTTCCAGGTTGCTCCAGACATGCGAGTCTCTGCTCGAGAACTCTAGAGTAACTCTTTCCAGGTTGCTCTCCAAATTCTTCCCATGATTTGTTTTGCATTAAGCATTACATTTTGTACATCTCTTCTGAGTGACACATATTGTTTATATTTCTCTATTTCTTCAGCTGTGTTCCTGGCTGCCAGGTTCTGCTTCCATGTCTTTTCCTTGTTTCCTGTTTTCAGTTATAAACTCATACAACTCCATGGAAGAATTTGTACAACAACACATGCAACAGTCAAACAGCACAGCCTAAAATAGTCTATAATAGAACATCACGAGACTATATTAGAACATCACAAGACTATTTTAGAACATCATGAGACAAAAGCATTAGGCTACATTAGAACAGAATGAGACAAGAGCATGAGGCTGTATTAGAACAGAATGAGACAAGAGCATGAGGCTGTATTAGAACAGAATGAGAAAGTGATGTCAGGAAATAAAAAGACACATTCAAAATGAGACTGAATCACACTCTTGATGTACGAAATGTCTATCTCTGTTGCTGTATCCCTGTGGGTTCCAGAGAAAGGAATTTCTAGTTATGCTATTAAAAAGTTTTCTCAATGTGTCCTACCCAGTGCCAGTATCTTTTTCTCACGTGTTAATTCCCTGTTTGTCTAGGTTGCTCAAGAATATCCCCATCAATGATTATGTCATACTATTTATTTATTTGATTCTACACAGGCCCCAGTGTTAAATAATGTTTGTTACAATAGGTGAGAATGCTGAAACAACCGACCTGGCCGCATTGTGATACCAGCTAAGTGATTTTTTTTTATCTATGTAGTATTGTTTATTTGTGATACAGCATAAGGCTGTATTAGAACAAAATGAGACAAGAGCATAAGGCTGTATTAGAACAGAAGGAGACAAGAGCATGAGACTGTATTAGAACAGAATGAGACAAGAGCATGAGTTTACAATAAAACATCATGAGATAAAAGCATGAGTTTACAATAAAACATCATGAGATAAAAGCATGAGTTTACAATAAAACATCATGAGATAAAAGCATGAGGCTACAATAGAACATCATGAGATAAGAGCATGAAGCTACAATAGAACAGCAGGAGTCAAGAGCAAGAAGCTACATCAGAAAATCATGAGAGAAGAACATGTGGCTACATTAGAACAGCATGTGGCTACATTAGAACAGCATGATACAAGAGCATGAAACTACAAAAAAAACCAGCATGAGACAAGAGCATGGAACTACATTAGAACAGCATAAGACAAGAGCATGGAACTACAAAAGAACAGCATGAGACAAGAGCATAGAACTACAAAAGAACAGCATGAGACAACAGCATATGTAGACATACCTTGTGAAATTTCACTAGATGTGCCAAAGATTCATGAACCGTCTGGTCAGCACCAATAAACTGGTAGCCAGAGTCTGAAGCATCCACCAGGAAGTGTTTGCACCGGTTGACGCTCCTGTAGGACAGGGTGTAGCCCCACACCCTCTCACTGACCCGCACCAGGAAAGTGCCCTTGGGCTTGTCCAGGAGAAGTTTCTCACTGTCAGCTCGGGTGATGATTCCTGCAGCAGGTTGGTGGATGGGACAGACAATTTCAGTGATGGAATCATAAATATGACAGTCATTCAGTCTTTCCCCTTCTATCCAGGGATACACAAATATGAGGCAGTCATTAACTTCCCTCACCTATCAGGGATACACAAATATGAGGCAGTCATTCACTTCCCTTACCTATCAGGAATACACAAATATGAGGCAGTCATTCACTTCCCTCACCTATCAAGAATACACAAATATGAGGCAGTCATTAACTTCCCTCACCTATCAGGGATACACAAATATGAGGCAGTCATTAACTTCCCTCACCTATCAAGAATACACAAATATGAGGCAGTCATTCACTTCCATCACCTATCAGGGATACACAAATATGAGGCAGTCATTCACTTCCCTCATCTATCAGGAATACACAAATATGAGACAGTCATTCACTTCCCTCACCTATCAGGGATACACAAATATGAGGCAGTCATTCACTTTCCTCACCTACCAGGAATACACAAATATGAGGCAGTCATTCACTTCCCTCATCTATCAGGAATACACAAATATGAGACAGTCATTCACTTCCCTCACCTATCAGGAATACACAAATATGAGGCAGTCATTCACTTTCCTCACCTACCAGGAATACACAAATATGAGACAGTCATTCACTTCCCTCACCTATCAGGGATACACAAATATGAGGCAGTCATTCACTTCCCTCACCTATCAGGGATACACAAATATGAGGCAGTCATTCACTTTCCTCACCTACCAGGAATACACAAATATGAGACAGTCATTCACTTCCCTCACCTATCAGGGATACACAAATATGAGGCAGTCATTCACTTCCCTCACCTATCAGGGATACACAAATATGAGGCAGTCATTCACTTTCCTCACCTACCAGGAATACACAAATATGAGACAGTCATTCACTTCCCTCACCTATCAGGGATACACAAATATGAGGCAGTCATTCACTTCCCTCACCTATAAGGAATACACAAATATGAGGCAGTCATTCACTTTCCTCACCTACCAGGAATACACAAATATGAGGCAGTCATTCACTTCCCTCACCTATAAGGAATACACAAATATGAGGCAGTCATTCACTTTCCTCACCTACCAGGAATACACAAATATGAGGCAGTCATTCACTTCCCTCACCTATAAGGAATACACAAATATGAGGCAGTCATTCACTTTCCTCACCTACCAGGAATACACAAATATGAGGCAGTCATTCACTTCCCTCACCTATAAGGAATACACAAATATGAGGCAGTCATTCACTTCCATCACCTATCAGGGATACACAAATATGAGGCAGTCATTCACTTCCCTCACCTATAAGGAATACACAAATATGAGGCAGTCATTCACTTCCCTCACCTATAAGGAATACACAAATATGAGGCAGTCATTCACTTTCCTCACCTACCAGGAATACACAAATATGAGGCAGTCATTCACTTCCCTCACCTATCAGGAATACACAAATATGAGGCAGTCATTCACTTCCCTCACCTATCAGGAATACACAAATATAAGGCAGTTATTCACTTCCCAGTGAATCATCCAGGGATGTCAAGGCAGCTGTAAACTTGCCATTACACCCTGAGGGTTTGAGGACAGTTCTGCCCAGTCTTGCCCTCTCTAACCCGGGATGTCAAAGTACCTTACAGTCTTACACATACATACAGTCTTACACATACATACAGTCTTACACATACATACAATCTTACACATACATTCAGTCTTACACATACATACAGTCTTACACATACATACAGTCTTACACATACATACAGTCTTACACATACATTCAGTCTTACACATACATTCAGTCTTACACATACATACAGTCTTACACATATATACAGTCTTACACATACATACAGTCTTACACATACATACAATCTTACACATACATTCAGTCTTACACATACATACAGTCTTACACATACATTCAGTCTTACACATACATACAGTCTTACACATACATACAGTCTTACACATACATACATTCTTACACATACATACAGTCTTACACATACATACAGTCTTACACATACATACAGTCTTACACATACATACAATCTTACACATACATTCAGTCTTATACATACATACAGTCTTACACATACATACAGTCTTACACATACATACAGTCTTACACATACATACAGTCTTACACATACATACAGTCTTACACATACATACAGTCTTACACATACATACAGGTTCTTGCCCTCTCTAACCCGGGATGTAAGGTACCTTACAGTCTTACACATACATACAGGTTCTCGCAAGCTAGCTTGTTAGGCACATGGTGAGACACGATCTGATTGCAAAGGCTTTCTTCAAGGAACATTGGGGCAAAGAACCTGGCATGACAGCATCAAGAAATGGACAGCAGAAAGACGATTATTCATGGTACTTGCTCTGATCCATAATTTCCTCAGATTTCAATCTATGTTTAGTCTCTTTTCCTTCTTCCAGCCAACATTTAAAAAAATAAAAATATGATTGAATGTTTAAAAAAAAAATTTATTTAGTTATAATAACTTTGTGTTACGTGGGATTTTAGTTGCTCTTTCTCCTGTGTGATCTTTAGTTGCTCTTTCTCCTGTGTGATCTTTAGCTGCTCTTTCTCCTGTGTGATCTTTAGCTGCTCTTTCTCCTTTGTGATCTTTAGCTGCTCTTTCTCCTGTGTGATCTTTAGCTGCTCTTTCTCCTGTGTGATCTTTAGTTGCTCTTTCTCCTGTGTGATCTTTAGTTGCTCTTTCTCCTGTGTGATCTTTAGTTGCTCTTTCTCCTGTGTGATCTTTAGCTGCTCTTTCTCCTGTGTGATCTTTAGCTGCTCTTTCTCCTGTGTGATCTTTAGTTGCTCTTTCTCCTGTGTGATCTTTAGCTGCTATTTCTCCTGTGTGATCTTTAGTTGCTCTTTCTCTTGTGTGATCTTTAGCTGCTCTTTCTCTTGTGTGATCTTTAGCTGCTCTTTCTCTTGTGTGATCTTTAGCTGCTCTTTCTCCTGTGTGATCTTTAGTTGCTCTTCCTCCTGTGTGATCTTTAGTTGCTCTTTCTCCTGTGTGATCTTTAGCTGCTCTTTCTCCTGTGTGATCTTTAGTTGCTCTTTCTCCTGTGTGATCTTTAGTTGCTCTTCCTCCTGTGTGATCTTTAGTTGCTCTTTCTCCTGTGTGATCTTTAGTTGCTCTTTCTCCTGTGTGATCTTTAGCTGCTCTTTCTCCTGTGTGATCTTTAGCTGCTCTTTCTCCTGTGTGATCTTTAGCTGCTCTTTCTCCTGTGTGATCTTTAGTTGCTCTTTCTCCTGTGTGATCTTTAGTTGCTCTTTCTCCTGTGTGATCTTTAGTTGCTCTTTCTCCTGTGTGATCTTTAGTTGCTCTTTCTCCTGTGTGATCTTTAGTTGCTCTTTCTCCTGTGTGATCTTTAGCTGCTCTTTCTCCTGTGTGATCTTTAGTTGCTCTTTCTCCTGTGTGATCTTTAGTTGCTCTTCCTCCTGTGTGATCTATAGTTGCTCTTTCTCCTGTGTGATCTTTAGTTGCTCTTTCTCCTGTGTGATCTTTAGTTGCTCTTTCTCCTGTGTGATCTTTAGTTGCTCTTTCTCCTGTGTGATCTTTAGCTGCTCTTTCTCCTGTGTGATCTTTAGCTGCTCTTTCTCCTGTGTGATCTTTAGTTGCTCTTTCTCTTGTGTGATCTTTAGCTGCTCTTTCTCTTGTGTGATCTTTAGCTGCTCTTTCTCTTGTGTGATCTTTAGTTGCTCTTTCTCTTGTGTGATCTTTAGCTGCTCTTTCTCTGAAATAAAAGGCCCACATGATAATGTACTTACTGACACCCTACAAAGTACAGACAGCTGAGGAGAAACGAAACAGTCAGCGTTGATATAAAACATCAATTAGAAGCTTGAGATGAGCAGCCTACCGTGAAACCATGGCACAATACTTCTGGTGGCAGGATCCAGCACTCGGACTCTGTCCTTCTCTTCTTTGACAAACCAGTCAACAATCATCTGGCGGTTTTCAGGCTTGGCAGGTCTAGGGATCTTCTTGGCTCCACCCTGGAGACTGGTGACTTTCTTGTGTCTCCTGAAGATGGAAGAGACAAGTGGTGCCAGAGGCTGCTAAACTACTCCACACAAAGGATGGCTGAATTGATAGGTAAAGCTACAAAACTTTTCTACACAGAAGATGTTTGACATGT